AATAATAATAATAATAATAATTATTATTATTATTATTATTTAATAATTTTATTTTTTAAAGGAACAAATACATACCTGAGCGATTATACTGTAGGAGTCAGAGGTGCCTGTGATGCTGAACAAAAGCATCAATCAGTGCAGATGCCAGAAGACTGATGTCTTCATTATCCTCACAAATACTCAAACTCTATTCACAGAAAGCAGTGTCGCCCTCTCAAGACTTCAGCACTAAAGCGTAAAACACAGTAGAAGACAAATAACAATAACGGTGAAAGAAAGCAGAGAAAGAGAGAGACAGAGAGAGAGAGAGAGAGAGAGAGAGAGAGAGGAAGCTCATTCACGCCCTTAAATGTGTCGGAATCCCTCTGAAATCTCGTCGACGAAGCATTTCATTTTTTCACTTTGGATTGAGAATTATATTTATATATATAAAATAACATAAAATGCTCATTACGCTGCATTGACTGCCTTGGGTTTTTAAAAATCCTTAATTAAGCGTTCTTACCTGTGCACCTGCAGACTCACCTGTCGCAGGAGCGCGTGCGCTTCCCGCGTCTCCTCTGACTGAACACTTTCCCTCCTCAAGCTCAGCGCTTCTCCTCATCAGATTCCTCTTTTTTATTTCATCCTCCTTTATTTCTCCTACAACCGTGTTTGTCTCTGGCGCTGAAGAGAGAGAGAGAGCGTAAACGTGCCCCGAACTTTCTTCAAACGTTATTCGCGTCTTCGCTATAAAGGTGCCTGATGCTCCGTGTGTGTGTGTGTGTGTGTGTGCGCGCTCATAAAAAACACACACGTTTGGCTCTATTATCCCTCCCTGTGCTGATAGGTGGCGTGTGTTTCTCTCTCTCTCTCTCGAAAAGAAAGGAGGAAAACAGTGTCATTCGAGGCGTGTGAGCGCGTCAGTCCGAGCGCAGGTTTGAGTCCTGGAGTGTGTGAGAGGATCAGTCAGGAATAACGCGCCTCTGTTTCTCAGGCTTTATTCTGGACCTAGACGCTATAACACACACAACACACACTCCCGCAGCCGAGACGTCCATAAGTCATAATGCATGCGTCTTCTAGTCTCCGGTGATCAGATGCATGGACAGCGAATGATCTGAGAGGCTCTCAGCAGTCTCGTTCACTCATGTGCCTGTGTGTTTCTGTCTTTCTGTTCGTGTGCTCGGGCTGAAGGGCTGCCAGAGGGAACGGTCCACCCTGCTGCTGTGTTTGCTCGGGTCTGAGTCCATGCAAACTGCCATCTGATCCACGTTTATCAATGCGGGAGCTGATCATGGCGGATGGCCCCCGGTGTAAGAGGCGAAAACAAGCCAACCCGCGGAGGAAAAACGGTAAGAGCGGCTTGGGAAAGTGTCCTGGCGCGGTGCGTAAACGGACGCGTTACGCGGGACGCAGAGAGAAGAGACCGGACAGACCAGAGTCCAGATAGGAGTACGTTTAGTCGAGCACAAGTAGAAATCGGACTAAACAGGCGCGATGTAAATAAAGGCCATGTAACGGAGCCTTTTCTCTCTGTATTTTCGCGCAAGTTTGGAAATTAAAGTTTGTGCGTAATTCTCAGGAGCGTCAAACGCGCTCTGAACACATTAGACGCCTGTGGATTCTTTACACTTGCATTTCGTTTGTTTAAGAAGCTGCTGACCGTCCAGAGACACCGATTGGACAGTCTCAGTGCGTTATTTTCATTCATTCTCAGATGCATGAATTAGAGGTGCTCGTGCTTGTTGTGTTTTTGTGTGGAGCTCCGTTAGTCGCAGTCAATGTCACACAAGTGTCTGGTAAACGCAGTTTTGCATTAATGCAGCACGCATGCTGATTGTGAAGCACAGATGAGTTTATTGTATTTTGAGGGTAGCTGTTTGGGCGTTTTGCACATGCATAAACACTATAGTGTTTAATATAAACTAAACACACCAGCCGATAGATTAGGTTGCATTTGAAATTGCGAGTGAGTGTTGGGATTGTTGGTTCGGATGCCGCGCGCTGCACGTTTGAGTTTTTATTTCTTCAGCAGTTCAGTTCCATCTCCCTCTTTCCTTTATGAAATGTTTCATATCGATCCGCTAAAAATCAATACGAGTACGAGAGTCTTTTCACCCTCACGAGTGTCTTCAAGTAGCCTACTAAAGTTTAAAAAGCGCAATTCTGTCCTCCCAGTTTTTTAATACAGACTTTTGCATATGCATTTCATAAAATGTAATGAAATACCATCTTAGAGTCCATGCATATTCTTTTGTGTTTTAATACAATGTGTGAGTGATTAGCATAAAAATAACGGTACTGAAATATTAATTTGTAATGTCCAGTTTTGTGTTTATTATTTGTGGAGCTCGTGAACGCGTAAGGATGCATGATAATACTAAATTAATTGTTTAGGTAGAAATAAAAATGCACCATTGAAAAAAATAAATAAATGCATCTTGATATGAAGTGACAGTCGTTTTAAAATGAGGACACAGATGAAATATTCAGTGATGCTGGAAGACTGCAGATATGAGCTCAGAGAAATATGAAGGGTGAAACGTGTATGTTCTCACACACCTGCTGGATTCAGCGTGTCCAGGTCAACTCAGGTGTGCACTGTAAGATGTTTAGCACAGATAAATGCTTCAGAAATTAATATAAGCATATATATATTTGCATGCACCCTATAGATATTTTTGCATCTTATTAAAAATAATCAAGCAGAGCAAATTCTGCATGTGTAGTGTTTTATCATTCAGATTCGTGTTCAGTTTTGCATGATGCTGTGTGTTTGAACGTGCTGTATTTTCTGTGGGAAACTTTTAGTTCAGTCAGATTAATTGCAAACATCTTGCTTCAGATCTCTTGATGAGCTAAAACCCAAAGCGTAGAGGGAATCTGATGTGTGAAGAGTTTGGCCGCTGGAATCGTAGAAGAGAACGCTGCCGTCTCCAGCTCCTTCTCCTGTGTTAAACTTCAGTCCAGATGCTCAGTGCAGTCAGTCAGACTGTTTATTTAGTGTACTAAAAATATTTGTAGTGTGTGAGGAGCAGATTTCATGCGAGCAAATCTGATGTCAGAGGTCATGCGGAAAGTCTTTTCTGTTTGTCATGCATGCATGCACGGGAAGTCTTTCACAAATTCAGTGCTCTGAAATTACAGGAAGAGCCCACTTCCTCCCAAACAGTTGACGGCCGTGGGGTGTCCTAAGATGCATATTTTCACAGGTTTACTGCAGCACAAAGACGTGCTCCTCGTGGTGCATTCAGCCAGATTGATTACATCATTTCAGGTTTGGAAAAGCTCCTGCGTGGCGCGAGGAGAAGCCTCTGTGTTTGATTACGGCAGCTGAGCCGTCGTTGCTGAATTGGGTGGGGGCGATTCTTTAGCTCGGGCTCTTTCATCCCCAACAATGGCAGATTCCGCCCCGTCTAAACTGTTTCTGCGCCCCCATTATGCTGCGAGGCTCCCTCGCCGCATGGCCCCTCCTCTGCCTCCTGTGTTTGGGAGGAGCGGGGCCGCTCACAGCTGATTGTCAGCTCTAATACATGTGCGTAAGGTGAACCGAGCGTGAGCGAGCACCTTTGGTTCCCCCGTGCAGAGAGAAACTCCTGAGTCTCTCAGAGTTTAGATTCCACCGCGACGAGCTGAGAGAGAGTTTTAGAGGAAGAGGAGGACGACGGTGCTCTTCATCTCTCGCGTTCTCTGATCTCCTGCTACTTCACACGGCATTTCCGAGCTCGTTTTTGGACTCTCGTGTGTGTGATTTGTACTTGATTATATTATCTATGCTCTTTATATGTTGTGTGAGAGGGACTCTGTGTTGTGGGTCAGTAATTAAAGAGCTGTCAGGGTTAAAACCACCAGTTTTTGCTTTGAATAATTTTTAGTTAGTTCCGGTGCATTAGTCTGTCTCTATCATTTCTGGATTTTTTTATTTTTTTTTGCAGGATTATCTTAGCACTGAACTGATCGCGTCGATCCAAACGTCTTCAGTGTGTGGATGCATGGAAGTATCTCCTACTGTACAACACAACAAATGTTGTTTTTAAAAGAGTTCACACTATTTCATCAATTCAGAATTAACAAACTTTCACATAGAAATAATATCCTTAAATAATTTGAATAAGAAACGTGTAAAACATTTTTTTTGCCAGTTTTCTTAGCTCGTCTTTTTTTTCCTCTTAAAAATGCATCCCTAAAATGCGCCTGCAGATTTCGGCACAGCTGAAGTGCCTGTCAATCACAAACATACACGTGCTCCGCCCCTTGTGTTTGTTTATTGAATATTTTATCTAATTTGATAATGCTGTATTCCACCAATACCATCTCAACGCTCCATCTAACACATCATACATCCTTTCAACAGAACTCTATTTTTCTACAAGAAAATGTGGAAATTCCATGGATTCTAAATGCACTGGTTTTATTCATGTCGGAGTAATTATTTAATGCGACTACATTAGGATATACCTTTGAAAGTCATTTTTAAGTCTTTTCAGTTCCTTGAGCTGACAAATTCACAATTTCACTTTGCACTGCTCCCAGTTGTGTTTTATCGTTGTGCTTCTTCTGCGATCTCGTCTCTGAAGATATTTTGGCCTATCGGAGGGAGAGGGAGTCAGACCCAGAGCTCTGTGGAAATGCCTTAGGTGTGACTTCACTTTCACTCACATCACCGCTGACCCGACTGCCTTTCATATCACATCCACCGCGTCTCCACCGGTAAACATCCCCCGAGGGCCGAACAAAGAACACGGCCCTTTCTCCTTAATCACAACCCAGCCCTCTCTCTCTCTCTCTCTCTCTCTCTCTGCCAACACGCAGCATTTGCATTCAGCTTCAGAAAGGCGCACATGAAAAGGGGGAAGAGCGACAGAAGAGAAAAAAAGACAGGGAATAAAGGCAGGAGAGGGTGGGTGTCGAGAGCAAAATAACTGAGGTGTTTGTGAATGTTTGTTGGGCCTCCCCTGGTTACGGCCCTTATATAGACCCCCACACACACACACACACACACACACACACACACACACACACACCCACCCACACACAGACAGACACACACACACACACACACAGATAGTGTTACGCAGCGGCATGTTTGCTCTATTCATGGCTGCACACTTTCACACTTAAGAGAAAATCATCTGTGTGAGGCACGGCTGCTTTAAGACACAAGAATAGTTTGGAACAGGTGTTTAGATAATTTAATGCATTTGTATTTAACTTTTTTTAGATTTGAGGAATATTGTTATTGGCATGATCATTAGCTTAGCGAGCGTGCAGAAATCAGACTGTAGACTTCCACTGTAAGTGCATTTGTCAAGGCATTTTTGGTTTGTTTCTACAGCTGGATTTCACGCATGCGGTGCATCGAGCTCAAGTTACTGAGCATGGGACATTTCTTTAATAAATGACTGATAATAAATAACAAAATATAAAAATAAACACATACAAATTATTATTAATTATAATTAAATTCTATGTTATTGATATATGCAAATTACATACAAATTATATATGTGACCCTAGACCACAAAACCAGTCATAAGGGGTCAATTTTTGAAATTGAGATTTGTACATCATCTGAAAGCTGAATAAATAATCTTTGTTAGGATATTTGGTAGAGATACAACTATTTGAGAATCTGAGGGTGCAAAAAAATCTAAATATTGAGAAAATCATCTTTAAAGTTGTCCAAATGAAGTTCTTAGCAATGCATATTACTAATCAAAATTTTGTTTTGATATATTTACAGTAGGACATTTACATAATATCTTCATGGAACATGATCTTTACTTAATATCCTAATGATTTTTGGCATAAAAGAAAAATCAATAATTTTGGCCCCGTACAATGTATTTTTGGCTATTGCTACAAATATACCCCAGCGACTTAAGACTGCTTTTGTGCTCCAGGGTCACAAATAATTACATTTAGTTTTAGATCTCAGTATTTTTGCATTTATTTTTATATTTTGTTATTTTTGTGTTGTTTTATATGCTTTTGCAGCTTAAACAGGACTGATTCAGAATGGGCATTTCTCTAATAGTTTCCCTCTAGTTGGACAGTAAAGTTTCTCTAAACAGAAACTATGAGGAGGATGCGGCCTCTTTTGCACACTTATCTGGATTCCAGCACACTATTTTGCTCCCTGTACACTCGCAGTCTGACTCTGAGTGCGTAAAGAGGCATCATGTGACGGAATTCCACAAACTCTGTTCTCCTTCAGAGCCTCAGCCGAGAGATTATCAGCCGGCTGGATTTATCCCCATGCACTTCAGCAAACACCTTTGGACACCGTGAGAGAGAGAGTCAGCTTGCTAAAACCTTGTCACGCCCGCAACACCAGTGTCACTGGTTCGGT